ATTTTATTTAATTCATTTATTCATTCATTTAAAAGAAACAAAACAAATTCATCAAAAAGAAAACATTGAAAAGAGTGCAGAAAGAAGAAAAACCTTATATCTGCCCCTTATTTAAAAATATAAAATAACTTTAAACAATCACTTAAATTAATCACTTTAATATCCACTTTAAAGCTAGGAATAAAAAGAAACATGTTTTGTGTTAGCATAATTTAATTCTAACTTTAAAATTTATCCAACATTAATAAAACTTACCTCAAGTTGCCTTTTTGGACATGCATGCATATATTTGTACAAATTGTACTTAAGAGGAGATTATTACAGCCTCATATAAAATCAATGATGATCATGATATCAATAATTCAGCACTGTTTATATGTATCAGGTCGATATCGGATCGGTATCAGTCGATACCGGTCCACCAGATATCAGTATCGGATCGGAGGTGAAAAAAAGTGGATTGGTGCATCCCTAGATATAAGGTAAAGAGTACTGGTCCAAGCACTGAACTAGAATTACGTAGTGTTATTCTATTGAACCAGAGACTATGAACCAATCACCATGTTCAGGCTAAAACTAAATTTGAACGTGTTGCATTAGTAATGCGGCACAACCCCCAACCATTGCTTATTTTTATAGTGTTTTTTTTTATTTTTTATTATCTTGGAGTTCATAAAAAAAAAGTCTCAATCTTAAATTTGACTTGCTGAAACTTGTATATATCCTGTCTATGTACAGTGGGTTACAAAAGTATTCAACCCCTTGGTGATTTTTAGTTTATGTTGCCTCTTTTACTGGAGTTTAAACAGGGTTTTAATTTGATTTTAAGTGATGCATCATCACAAAACACTGCAAACTGATAGGAGTCAGTAATAACTTGTTTTAAATAATTCTAATATATATATATATACACATATATATATATATATACACATGTATACATCTCTTCAAACAATTCATAAACGGTTTCTGTTTTGTTTCGAGAGCGCTCTGCCTGTAAATACATTATCTATGTGGATGTGCACGATGAACAAAACAAAAATTTGATGTCTTAAGTTTACTGTAGTTCCTCTTGTGTCTTTTTGCTCAGGTTGAAGACTGGAAATCCAAGAATCAGATTCTAAGAAATCTTTTGCGACAGCATGGCATTGTGGGGTCATCCAGCAAAGACTCTCAGTGAGGAGCCTGTTGCACGCAGGTGTTTGAAGACAGCTTCACGTGGGCCAAATAACTAGCGGTACTTGAAATGTGCTTCTTGTCATTGAGCATGACCCAAATGGGAGTAATTGTTGAAATATTTTCACGAGGATTCAAATAATCATCTTTGAACTCTTGTTTGTTTTGACGCTTTACAGCATTTAAGTCCTTTATCTGGTAGTTACAAAACATGACAGGTCTTAAAAAATAAATTGTACAGACAGGTTTAGCAAAACCCTCATTAGATGCCTTTTTCCATAAACCTATTATTCATTAATCTCCAGTACATGAAACTTTACATCGGTCAGTTATTTTACTTAAACCATGACACACTGGTTTTTTTTTTTATGTCCGGTGCACTGGGTTCAATTTCTCTCAACATTGTATCCTTACATTGTCATATTTTATCAATCTGACTTTGATAACTTGATGCAAATTTCTCACCATCATTGTTTTGTGGTTTATTTCATAAAGCCTCTTTGGGGACACTAGTTACATTGCAGCAATGTAAGTTAAACTTTGAATTATTAGAATTGTATTATGTCTTTTTAATAAAAAAAAAAGTCAAATGATATACTTGGATAAGAGTTATTCACCTGATTCCCGTGGCTCATGATGCGAATCATCATGTGAATCATGGGACCTACTGTCACCATATCACCATGTCCAGTGACCTATCTGGTCACTGGACACTTTTTCTTGCAAACTTTGTAATGATGATGCAAAACACATGAGAACATGACCCGTTACTCCTCAAACAAGATATTTCAGTCATGCCTGTCCCTTCAGCTACTGAGGACTGCGATGAATTAAAAAGCTGTAAGATCAGCACCTCTGTATGAATCATCCCATAATTTAAGCTAAAATGGGTGAGTTATATTATTGCTCATAATGTGTGTAAACTAAAAACTTTAATCAAATTTATGTTTTTGTTTTCCACATTCAGTTGAAAAGATGTTTGGAAATCCAGTTTGGCCCCTTTGTGAGACCAAAGATGATTTGATTGTTAAAATCAAACCAACCTGTCCCTAACACCTGGACCACATTAAAATACTGCAAATTAAAGCACGAGCAAATTACACTTGTCTGGATTTGAATGAAAACAAAAAAACCTAAAATGCTTCATTATCAGTGTGATGACACATCTGAACCTGTTAATGTTTGTATATAATAATGTTTGTGCCGGTCCCAAATAGTGAGGGTTGTGTCAGGAAAGACATCTGACTAAAACACTTTTGCCAAAACTAATATGTGAGTTCATCAAAGCGAAACCTTACCGGATCGGTCAAGGCCCTGGTTAACAACAACCGCCACCAGTGCTGTTGACAAACAGGGTACCAGCGAAAATTGTGCTACTGTTAGTCAAAGACCACAAGGAGGGAAATGTGTCAGGAGACGGAGGGAGAAGAGGAACGTCAAGAATGTAAAACTGAAACGGACTTTGATGAATCCATATCGAACTCAAATTTGGTGAGGTCATTAAGAACATTTACTCATCTTCAGTTTGAGACATGCTGTAATTCAATTCAAGGTGGTGCACTGGCTGTACTGGTCTGAAGATAAGCTGTCCAAGGTCAAAGCCAACCTGGACCCCGCATGTAATCATTGTAAACAAACTCCAGCTACACTCCTGCAGACATTCTGGACCTGTCCCAATCTGCAGACATTTTGACAATCTCTGGAACAGCTGAAAGAATATTTTATTCATTTGTTTTTAATCAGTTCACGTTAACTTTGTTTTTTATGTTTAATATTTAAAAAAAAAAACTAAAAAGTTAATGATCAGGTCGTGCAGCACAAAAAAAATTAAATAATAAAAACAAGAGTTTTTTGTGATTTAATGTAGTTATCAAGCAATTTCTTATGAAAATAAAATGGTTTCAAAATGTTTGATTCTTTAAGAAACTACATCTCTGAAGGTCACAGAAACATTTTACTCTGAATGAACAGGCTTTTATTTTGAAGCCACGTGTTCAGCTTCTTCCGGTTGGAGGTCGTCTCAAAGCGGAAGCAGTTTGGCCAAAAGTTTCACTCATGATTAAAAAAAGGACGTTTCAATATTTATCTTTAATATGTGTTTTATTAAGATATGTGTCCTACACTTTAAACATAAAATACAAGCGCACATGTCAGTTTGTTGGTGTTTATTTTGTCCGGCCAGAGGATGAACTGCGCTCGCTCGTTCATAAACGTTTTATTTTGAAGGCGCCTTCCAGAAGTAAGCTCGAATGAGTTTTACTTTGTGTAAAACCTGGACACACGGAGAGGACTTTTCCTATCATAGCTACACTGGGACGAAGAAAGTGCACAGATGATCTGCATACTGCTGGTGGCCGGACACGGCACGCTGTTGGAGACACAACTCAAGGTAAACCCGGTGTATGTTGCTGAACAACAAGCGGTGCAAAGTTCACACAAGATCAAGTTTACAGAACAATGTGCCAATCTCGCTTCTGGCTCTCGTCGCTGCCTAGATTGTTGCTGCAACTTTGGCTTAGAGCCTTTATTGTCAGAACAATAATGAAAATGAAAAGTATCATCATCAGTGAATATGTGTTTAATATGCGTTCAAGTACAGAGTTGGGTACAGTACATACGGTAGATAGCGCTACGGGTGCCGTGAAAGGACAAATCAGACATGTCAAATAGTCATTTTTTTAACCATTCAGTTATTATACATTGCAATAATTTATGGTTTGACTGAAGCCACAGTCATTTGTAAAGGTGGGGGTCTTCCTGCATTAGCTGTGGTGGCCACCTTGAATTGAACTGAACCCAAAATACAATTGTTTGTAAGTGCATATTCAGCATACATTATGAAAATGTAATCAAAACATGTCCATAAAATATTTTGCTAACAGAAAAGCAGTTTTGACTGACTCCAACAGCTGAAGTTTTGGGGCGGCTGTGGCTGAGTGGTTAGAGCAGTCATCCTCCAATGGAAGAGTTGTGGGTTTGATTCCACCAGCAGTCACATGCCGAAGTGTCCCTGGGCAAGACACTGAGCCCCTCAGAGGCAATGTTTCGCTCTAGTGTATGTATGTAATGTATGTCGCTGTATGACTGGCTAAATGAGGCACAGCTTGTGTTGGAAAGAGCTTCGATTATCTTGATAAGAGAAAGGTTTTTTACAAGTACAGTCCATTTACCATTACCTTGCACACTTTGCAGCTCATGAAGTATAATGATTCTTGGTTGCAATCTAGCCAAATTGTAGCTGAACATTTAAAACATTTACTGAATTTTACTCGTTGCTGGTGTGTTGGTTGTGAATTGGGTTGGCTCCAAACGTTAATCAGCTGTAGAGGTACAACCATTGATTATTTCCCAAAAACTTCATTCAAACCTGTCCAGTGGTTAATCAAATATTTTGCTAGCAGTGAGACAAAGTCGACACCAAGTAGGTAAATATACAATTTAATTAAAAAATCTTTCACAACCTGTTAGCACTCAGAATATGTGTTGGTATCAAGTTACAACAATCCCATCAAATTTGCAACTAACATCTGTAACATACCCAATTTAGTATTTCCTAAGTTTAATAAGTTATGGCAGCAATCTTGATTTAAATTAGCTCTATTAGGTAACCAGTAGTAGAAATACAACCAGTGATGACTTTCTGCAACTTTCATTGCAATTTGTCCAATGGTTCATGAGAAATTTAGGCAGCAGTCACAAAAACACAGACGTGGGCAATGAAGCATCATCTGTCCTTGCCTTTTGGAGGTAGGTGGAATAAACATACTTCTGAAAAAGTCAGATACTAAAACAGGACAAAAACAAGTCCAAAATAGAAAAGTATAAAACATTTGGGAAGATTAATTTATTTATTTTCTCTATTTTTACACACAGAATGATGACACAGAATTATACAGCCACCTGACTGGAGTACCAAAGGCTTTGCTCCCTGGGATTGGGGGAAAGAAGATTCTTGACTTTTGGTGGGAAACTGTCAACATGTAAGTTCATTTGGTTCAAGCATGAGCAGGTTTGATATCTGCCAGTTCTGTCTTTGCAGAATCGCCACCTTAACATGGTGTGAAAGTTTGAGTACCCCAGTGATCCTGGGGGTGCTGTGTTTGGGACATCTCTTACAGGTAGAGTCTCCCATGGCAAACATGCCTCAGGGAAGGAGTCAAACTAAGAGCGATCTAAAACCCTTGATGGACAAATAAGATGCACTGGGAAACTTTGCCTGGAGAAGGAAAACCAGGACACCTCCCTGGAACCAAACCTGGAGGAGAAGCTCCTGGGGCTCGGCCAGGCCAAGACAAAAATAAAGACATTTGCCACGTCCACATTCCATGTCCCAAGAGCCAGTCCATTGTAGCCACTCTGTACGGGTCCATTGTGGTGAAGAGGGAGCTGAGCTGTAAGGAAGGCAAAACTCTCTGTTTACCGGTCGGTCTAAGGTCCTACCCTCACCTGTGGTCACGAGCTCTGGGTTGTGACGAATAGAATGAGATCGCGGATACAGGCGATTGAAATGAGTTTCCTTTGCAGGGTAGCTGGACTCTCCCTTAGAGATAGGGTGAGAAGTTCAGTTATCTGGGAG